CAATAATTCAAGTTTACCAGAGAGAATTAAAACAAAAGTGGGTACTTTTTGTAAATTAGTCTCTTCACTGCAATTCTTCGGCGGTCCAGCAAAATGCCGCCGTAAACAACACCATTCTCTCTTTTTCCGATCACATTCTTCTCGGAAAAGCAGTTAGTGGCCAACTCAATGTCCTTAATCGTGAACATGTAACCCCTCCAAGCCTCCACACTCGCTGAAGACCACCTACCACCGGACTCCAGCTCCCCTACAAGTTTCTGGATTCTGCTACTCGAACTAGACCATCGGTCCGATACCAGCTGATTCCCCTGCATCACCGCCTCGATTTCCAGCGGCAGGAGCCTCCTTAGGGATGAAGTGCTGGAACCACTGGGGCAATTACTGGTGGCGAGGATCGAGTTGGGTAAACGATAATGAGGACTGTAGGATTTCCGGGGGCGGCAGTAGACGTGGTAGAGACAGAGTAGGAAGAGGAGAACGAGAATGGCTAACGCCAAAGGAGCAACAATCAAAACCCATAATCTCAGTCCGAAAAAGTTGGTTTGCCTGAGGAGCTTCTGCCGGAGAGATGGCAGGTCCGGCGACATGTTGCTTGGAGAGTAAGAAAGGTGGGTGGGCTAACTGGTATGAGAATTTACCTCCATTGAAATGGAAGAGGAAAAATGATTTAGATGAGATATTTCAGTTTTGGTTGTTTGACACATGGCAGTTGCATATGGGTTTAGTTCTATATTAAATAAAAAAAATAATGATCGGTACGTATTTTAATATAATATATTATATAATATATTTATTAAAAATTATTTTTTAATATAAAATTAGAAACAGATAAATTTAAAAATATAATATGCATATATGATGTAAAAATTAATTGAATTAATTATATTTATATTATATTTTTAATTATTGAACTAAAAATATATCAAAAACTATGTTAGGTAGAAGGTGTACAAATTATTTTTCTAAATAAAAATGAAATTAGGTTTTTTTTTAAAAATTATTACTAAATGAAAGAGAAATGATTTTGAGACAACTTTTTTGTTTTATTTTTTTGTATAACCGGACGTGTCATTTATATGATTGGTTCTTTTTATTAATATAAATATCATAATATTAAATGTGTCCACTTATTTAATAACATATAAAAGTTGTGTATTTATAGCACCGCCCTTAAATAAAAATGACTTTAATTTAACTAATATGATGAGATCCAAGATTTTCTAAAATATTTACCGTTGCTATTGATTTTTTTTTTTTGGTTATTTTTTGTATTTTGAACAATTTATATTTTAAAATTTAAATTCTTCCCAAATTTATAACAATCACACATTGTCTCTCCTGCTTGATTTAATTATCTCAATTATCTAGCAGAAGGTTTATTTATTATAATAAT